TACAGAGTTCCCATACAAACCCTGCCCCCACACACTCAGCCTTCCTCCGTCCCCACCAGAGTGGTTCATTTGTTACAACCAGTGACCTACATTGACACATCATTATCACCCAAAGTCCACAATTTATATTTGGGTTCACTCTTGGTGTCCTAAATTCTATGGGTTTGGACAAATGTATAACGACATGACCATTATAGTATCACACAGAATAGCTTCAGTGTCCTAACAGTCCTCTGTGCTGAGGTCAAGAGTTTTAACCTCATTTTATAGACAAGAAACTGAGGTCCAGGAAGTTGAAGTGACTTACCCAAGTCCAGTATTCAAACCAGAGTCTGTCTGGTTCCCAAGCCCAAGGCTTCTCTATCCTCTCGTACCGCTCTCTCCTCTGGCAGGTGGATGCAACATGGCCCTTTAATACCCAACTGGCCAGGACAATGTTCGATGAAAGCCCACGGTCCCTGCCTTAGTCCCCGATGCCTGCTGGACCCCTTCCTGCCCAGGGCTAATCTTAGGCATTGCCAGTGACCAGGGGATAGGCTGTCTGGGATCACTGGACTGGAGATCCCAGGCATGAAGCTGACCTTTTACAGAGAAGATCCTGCCATCCAGTGTCCCCCTGAGCTGGGGCCAGGCTTGGAAGTTCAAGTCCATCCCCCTGACTCCTAGGCCCTATTGTCCAGGGAGCATAGCACGTCCTGTCTGTGCCATCAAGGGGAAGGGCTGGGAGTGGGATGGTTACAAGTTTCACAGTAGTCGTGTGTGTCAGTGTTCTCTGATGCCCAAGGGCCTAGACTAGAGCCCTTTAACAGCATAGCTCTCGGCCCAGGTGGTCCAGCCAGGGCTGGAATCTGTTCTTAAGTCCAGCCCCTATTCCTCCAAAGGCTGGATTTGTCTAGCATCAAGGTATCCCACCCCATGCCACTCAAAAGGCTCTAAATCACTCCTGCCCTGGCACCAGCCTCACCTTCGTGTTCTCTGCTAAGGGACCCTGCCTCTCACAACAGTCATTAAAACTAACAACTTGGCCAGGTGCGGTGGCTCAAGTCTGCAATACCAGCACTTTGGGAGGCCAAGGTGAGAGGATTACCTGAGCCCACGGGTTCAAGACCAGCCCGGGCAACTTGTTGAGACCTTGTCTCTACAATAAATCAAAAAAACTAGCCAGGTTTGGTGGTATGTGCCTGTGGTTCCACCTACCTGGAAGGCTGAGGCAGAAGGATTGCCTGAGTCCAGCAGGTCGAGGCTGTGGTGGCTGCGAGCGTGCCACGTCACTCCAGCCTGGGCAACAGAGTGACACTCCAACTTCAAAAAGAAAACTGACAACTTAAAATGGAAGCTGGAGTGAAGAAACATCAGCGTCCACACCCCCCACAAACTGGCATGTCAGTGCTAATACTTCCTCATGATCATTGTGGCCCCATGACCCACACATTTGCACGCCATTCACAGAGCCTTTTCCCATCCATAGCACAATTCTGTGAGGTGAATGGAGCAGTATTTTCCTCCCCAGTTGGCAGATGGGAAACATGATACTCAGAGAAGTTAAGTGATTTACCCTTGTCGCATAGCTGGGACTAGAATCTAGGCCTTTTTCTTCCACCACACATTTAAATTGCTTTGGTATTAACAAAACAGCACACATTCCTCCAATTAAAACATCAGGCTGCAGAGCTATGTCATTCAGAAACACAAATACCTATGATGAGAGAGAATACAGAAGGATCTTTCCTTGCCATCCCTCCAGGAAGAGAGGTCCAGCCAGGGCATGGCTGTGAAGGTCTCTGAGGATTGCCGCTCTTCCCTCTCTCAATGACCACTCTGGGTCCCTCATAAGAGAAGGACCTGATAGTACCAGGGCAGAAGGCAACACAAGGGGGCAGATGAAGGGTAGCAGAGGCCCACCCATTCGCCTTCTTCCTCCTGGGTACACTGTGGCGCCCTGATCCCTTCCCCATTTGGGGACCTGAGAAGGTCAGACAGAGTATCTAAGACCTTCTCTCACCCTCATTCCTCCCTGTCTGGCAGGAGCTACGTGAAATCTTCACTACAGGAAATCCGAGGCAATTAGCACAAAGTTACATGTGAAGAGCATGTTGTTAGAGAGCAGGAACACCCAGCACACCTGCAGAGCCAAACAGGTCCCGCCACAGGCTGCCGGACCAACTTTTTGGACCCGCTGGGTTTCCACATAGGCGGTCTCCTTATTAACCTCTCAGCACTGGGGTTGGAGCCATCGGGGAAGACCCAGAAACCATCTCATGTGCGGAGCTCAGTTCCATCTGATGGATGGTTTTTCCGGTGAACTGAAATTCACCCAACATGAGAATGGAAAGGCCCAGAAAGATGAGGCTGAGACAGGCACCCAACAGCTGTTCTAGGAGATGACTCTGCTCCATCACCCCGCCTGCAGCTCCAATCTGGAAGAAGCTCCAAGCATCACCCCACACGCCAGGAGCAGCTCCCAGGTCATGACCAACCTCCCTCGGCTCCCTCACTGCCTCGGTACTTAGCTTCGGAGACTAGAGCCACATATGACTCCGGCCAGGCCCCAGGAGCTTGGTTTTCTTGCCCTTTCCTGTTATTTCCTTCTCTAAGCTGAGTTTCACAGTAATTCACCCAAGCAGGCCAGAGCAGTGGAAAAATTTCTCTTGCCAGAAAAGCTAATGCAAGGTGAAATGGCGTTAATAACAGTATAGTGTCTGGACAGGAGGTAATGGTCCTGAAACTCTCTGCACTGGTCCAACCTCACTCTGCCCAGGCTGAGAGCCACATCCTGAGGACACTGGCAAATCTGAGCTTCTTCAGCAAGGGCACCCAGTGTGTGGGAGGCTCTGATGGAACCCTTCTCCACTTGTGGCCCATGAGAGCCATCCGCAGACAGCTATGGAAGGGTTTTCTGGAAGAGGGAGGAGAATAATTCTCAAAAGTTTTAGAGAAAACCTTTAGGACAGTGCATGTGAGTTGCAGGGAGGTCAATTTCAACTCGACACAAGAAAATTTTCTAGCAGCCAAAGCTAACTAACAACAGCACAGGGTACTTTGTGAGGTGGTGAGAGCTCTGTCACAGTATCTATTCAGACAGTACAGCCGGGCATGTTGGCTCACGCCTGTAACCCCAGCACTTTGAAAGTTCAAGGCGAGAAGATTGCCTGAGCCCATGGATTTGAGACCAGCCTGGGCAACGTGGAGAGACCTTGTCTCTACAATAAATCAAAAAATTAGCCAGGTGTGGTGGCACTCTCCTGTAGTTCCAGCTACTTGGAAGGCTGAGTCGGAAGGATCACCTCAGTGGGTTGAGCCTGTGGTGACCGTGAGCATGCCACTGTACTCCAGCCTGGGCAACAGAGTGAGACTCTGACTCAAAAAAAAAAAAAAAATCAGACAGTACAGCAGAGTGTTTGCCAGCTTAAGCCACAGAGTTGGATACACCTGGCTTCAATCCCTCGCTCTGTCATTTGCTAATTATGTGACTTTGAGGAAGTCACTTAAAACTCAGTTTCTTCATTGGTATATATTCATAATAAAATCTCCTCAGCAGTCTAGGTAACTTAGCGAGACCCCATCTCTACTAAAAAAAAATCAAGAAATTAACCAGGCATGCTGGCGCACACCTGTAGTCCAAACTACTGAGGAGGCTGAGGTGCGAGTGTTGCCTGAGTCCAGGAGGTCGAGGCTGTGGTGAACTGTGATCATGCCACTGCCTTCCAGCCTGGGTGACAGAGTGAGAGAGACCCTGACTCAAAAAACAACAAACAAACAGACAGACAGACAAAAAACCTCGTCGGGTTTTGTGGCTGATATGAGATGAACGTATATGAAGTAGAATGTCTCCAATAGTAAGCCCTTGACAAATTGTAGCTGGAATTATTAGAATAAGTAATATGCAGAAGTTAGGTGGGTACCAGTCAGGAATGCCATCAAAGAGACTCCCATATGGTTGGGGAGGGACTAGAAAATCTCTGAGATTCCATCCAACCCAAGGGATACACATGTTCATTCATTTTCTTTTCTTTTTGTCTCATTCAACAAATGAATCTACTCTGTGACAGAAATGATGCTAGGCCCTGAATACACAAGGGAGCAGAGCCTGACTCCCTCTCTCTTCCCTTCCCTCCGAGGCCTCTCTAATCATTGCTTGCCTTCAAGCCCTCCCCAGCTGATCCGAAAGATGAGATGTTGACATGCAGCACACACGCGCGTACACACACTGCCACACGCCCATGCCCTCATCAGCATGACAAACACCGAGCCCTGTGCCAAGCATAAATGTGTCAAGACTTGGCAATTCATTCATTCCTATAGCTGCCTCTGGCTCATGAACCACTTCATAGCTGTCTTCAGACCCTTTTGATGATGCATCCACAGTAGCAAGATCTGTCTGCCATAGCCCAGTTCACCAGGTATCTATTCCCTGAGAAAAAAATTAAAAAGCGTCTGCAGACCCCATCACTACAGAAGTGACTGCTTGGCACTTCTTCATTCCACCAGGAAGGTATGTTCCCGGGGGACAATCTGAACACTTCCATGGGATCTGAAATAACCAACCCGGCAGAAAGCAGAAGGCGGCTTCCCCAGGAAATGGTATCACATCAGGAGCTCAGGGTTGGCTTGGACCTTGGCATGCTGGGCATTCAGCAACAGTAGCCACCAGGCTAGTCTGAGTGCATCCGTGAGGTAAGCCTCTGCCAAGCCCTCAGCTGAGTCCAAGCCTACCTGTTCATGAGCTCACAGAGCAAACCCTGGGTCACTGGAGAAAAAGACTAATAAGCACTCTTGGAGTGGACCATCTTGCCTACCTGATGACGCTTGGTAAAAGTCCACATGGAACATAAATATTCTCATATTCTCTGCCCATTCCAGGAGGCCTGTCCACATCTCTTTTTTCCTAAAACTTCTTTGTCACCAGTTCTTGAATTTGACCCCTTCCACATTTTTGACCATCTGGCCAAACTATTAGCAAAGCACGTGATTCAGCTATTAGCAAAGCACGTGAGCCTTACCTTAGGTCATCTCTCCTTCCAGGCAAGGTGGCCACCATGTTGTGCTGCTCAAAGTACTGGCCACCTGTTTTAGAAAGAAGGTTTCAATTCAACTCTCCAGCTTCTATCATGGCCCTGCTGTCATGGTCTGTTTATATCCCCCCCCCACGCTCCCCCTCCCACAAGTTGGCAAATGCTCCAAGGGCTGTATCTGTGTCTTATCCATCCTTAGTCTAAGAACCTAACACCTGGTCCACCGCAGGCCTCCGGAAAAACAACCAGAATTCCACCCTCCCTGGTCTCCTTGTCACAGCAGCTAGGAGAGTGTTCCCTAGAGATGGGTCTTTTATTTTATTCTATTTGGAATAAGCAAAATTCTGGCCTCCAGACATGGCCGGGGAGACTCTTAGGACTAGAGATGAGCCTGTTTTTCAAGCCTGAAGTGTGAGGGAAAGCAGAACCCAGCCACATTTACCCCAGAAAGCCCACTGGGCTCTTTCCCACCACAAGGCTTTCATGATTGATGTTCCCTCTTCCCCCAGTTCATTGTGTGTCTCTGGCTATTCTCGTTTTGTTTCAGCTCAGATGTCCTCAGAAAGGTCTAGTAGAATGCACACATGATATTTTGGCACACCCGTTACCTGGAACCTCTTCCAGTGGGTCATCACCCAGATCTTGCTTTGGATAACTGCCCCTCCCCCAATGGATTTAGTCCTGGCAAAACTGTCCATCAAGCTTCCCTGGTCTCTATCCTGGTCTGCCCTGGCCAAAGAGTGAGGGCCCTCTGTCCCTGGATAGTAAACCCTAAACAAAGTGTCACAGACACAGAACACTGTAAGCAGGAATTTGCCCCAATGGCCAACCCCTGAAGAGACTATTAGTGCCTGCTGGAAAGATACCCAGAAAAATCCTGGTTCCTATGCCTTCTTTATTCTTTTTCTCTTTCCCTTTGATCCTATGAACTTTCCTTGTCCTTCCAGGAATTTCTTTTTGCTTAAGTTTTCCAGAGCCCGTTTTTGTTTGTTTGTTTGTTGTTGTTTTTTAGTTGGAGTCTCACTTTGTTGCCCAGGCTGGAGTGCAGTGGCATGCTCACAGCCACCTCAGCGTTGAACTGCTGGGCTCAAGCGATACTTCTGCCTTAGTTTTCCAAGCAGCCGGAACTACAAGCATATGCTACCACACCCAGCTTTTTTTTTTTTTTTAATTGTAGAGATGAAAAATCTCCCAGTTGCCCAGGCTGTTCTCAAAACCATAGGCTCAATCCCCACACCTCGGTCTCCCAAAGTACCAGGATTATAGGCTTGAGCCACCATGCCCAGTTGAGAGCCCGTTTCTATTGCTTGTAATGAAGTACACTGATATTAGTGTCCCATCCTCAGTCATTATCTGTTTATTCCCATCAGAATTGAAAATGGTTTTTAAACATTTATTAGTTTACACATTTATGGCCTGTCTCTGCCACTAGAATATAAACCCTGTGTCAGCAGGGACACTTCTGTCTTGCTTCCTACTGTCACCAGCACATAGCCCACACCTGGCACTTAACAGGGATCCCCAAGGAAGGCACCAGTGCCTGTATCTTGCCATGAGGTCCACTCACTCTGAACACAGGAGTAAGAGAGGGAACAAGAGAGGAACAGGAAAGGACCTCTGGACACCAGTGAATAAGCTTCCACCTTTCCAAGGAGGGCAAATTCTAGCTTTGGATTCTAAGCAACAGATTCCAGGACCAGATCTCTCCTCCCCTTTGATCTCTACCAATCCTTCGTAAGTCCCCAGCAGTATCTCGTAAATCTTTAATTACAAGAAAATTGCAACCCAACCAGCGAATGCACGTACCGTGTTGATAAATATTTAAAATTGCTACAGCAGCAGATCTGAAGGGATTAAGAAAAGATATATTGGAGTGACAGTTATTAAACACTAAATCCCAGTAAATGTTACCGAGCAGATAAATAATGCAAACTCCTGACAGCCGCTCGGTTGCTGACAAGACAGGAGAGACATCTGCTCGGGGATGTGGCATTGGGGGAGGCAGCGGGTCCTCACGGCCTGTGCCAGGGGGTACTGGAGGAGAGAGGACAGCCACAGACTTAGCTCCCCACCCCCTGGAGGCGTGCTCCATGTCATCCTCTCCCAGCACCCTATCTCCGTGGAGGGGTGGCGGGTGGAGGCCGGAAGGAAGGGGAAGTCTCCAGGATGAGTACATTTGGAGGGCTCCAGCGTCTGGGCTTTCTGTCAGGGCAGTCCATCAGGCTGCCCCCGCTCTGACTCTTCCCGGCACACTGGCACTGGCCCATTTGTATTGCCACTGTCACACAGTCCTTTAATTCTCTATTATTTCTTGATTCACCATTCACCTATTTCCCTCATGTATGCACTAACTGACTCATCCATTTATTCATACGTTCACTAGTTTTTGCATCCTTTCACGTATTCATTCAATTACTCAGGCACACACTAATTTACTTATTAGTTACTCTCTCGCCAAATGTTTATTGAGCACTTCTTATAGCTTGGGTGATAAAAAGCTGAGCAAGACCCAGGCCTTGCCCTCAAGATCTGAGAGCCTGGGAGAGGGTGAAAACCAAAAATATAAAAATAATACAATATAGTAGGCTCTTGGCATTTGCAGATTTTATACTTGCAGCCTGACCATTCAATAAATGCCCATAAAGGTCTGTGACCTTTATGTGATTTGCACTGTTGTTGACACACAGCTTTGTATTACATATGCACCAAGGCTGGTGTGTGTAAGAGAAGAAGGTATCTGGTGAAGTCTGGAGAAGTCAGAGAAGGTTTCCTGTAGGAGGAGATGCTTGTTCACTAGCTATATGCCAGGCACTTGGCTGTATTAGCTCATTTAGTTATCATACCAATCCCCCAGCCCACTTAAAAGATTAGGAAATTGGAGGTCAGCTCATCCAAGGCCTCAGTAGTAATGGCAAATCAGAACCATAGAATGACTCAAGAGCTTTCTACTACACTCAGCTGCTTCCTGGGACCCCCAGCTGTCTGTCTCTCTGCAGTGAAGAAGAGTGGAAAAACCTCTTCTCCCCCTCCCTTGGGAAAAAGTTGTCATTTATTGGTTCGTGATATAATTCACACTCAGTAAGGTGCATAGATTTTTTTTTTTTTTTTGAGTTGGAGTCTCACTCTATTGCCCAGGCTGGAATGCAGTGGCACGCTCACGGCCACTGCAACCTTGACCTACTGGGCTCAGGCAATCCTTCCACCTCAGTCTTCCAAGTAGTTAGAACTACAAAATCCACAGATTTTAAGTATACAGTTCAATAAACTTGGACAAGTGCATACACCCATGTAACCAACATCTAAATCAAGAAATGGAATATTTTCATCACCGCAAAAAGTTCCCACCACTGTTCTAATTTCTATCACCAGAGGTTCATTTTACCAGTTTTTGAACTTCATATAAATGGACTTAACATGTAAATGACTTGTTTCTCTTCACATGATAAGACGAGGTTTTATTTTTTTTTACTTTTATTGTTTGAGTTGGAGTCTCACTCTTGTCGCCCAGGCTGGAGTGAAATGGCATGCTTACAGTCACCACAGCCTTGACCTGCTGGACACAGGCAATCCTTCCACCTCAACCTTCCAAGTAGCTGGAACTTCAGACACATGCCACCGTGCCCGGCTAGTTTCTGTGATTTATTGTAGAGACAAGGTCTCACCAAGTTGCCCAGGCTGGTATCAAACCCCTGGGCTCAGACAATCCTCTTGCCTTGGCCTCCCGAAGTGCTGAGATTAGAGGCTGAGCCACCATGCCTGGCCAAGACAAAGTTTTTAAAAGGGACTTTTCTAAGAAGTTAAGGGCAATCCCTCAGAAATACCCAACACACAATAAAGTGGCATGGCACCAAGTGCAGGTTCAGTCCTAACCACTCTATAGAAAAGGTTAACTTGGTCGGCACTGTCCAGGACAGCCAAATTCCTAGTTCCTTTTGCTTGCTAACTTTCTGGGGGGGTGGGTGTTAACCACAGAAGCTCAGGGGTTGGATCCCCAACATTCTGGGTCTGGGAAGCCTCTGACCTTCGCAGGGCCTGTCCCCTTCGCTGTTCTCAAGGTGTAAGCACCTGGTTATACTTGTGTGTGCCAGCCGTCTGCTCGTCTCCTATGCTGGTTGGGCCTCAGGTCTCTGACTCCAGCCTCCTGAGTAAGGAAGGCTCACTCCTATCTGGTCTCAAGAGTCCTCCCCTGCTGTTCTGTGCTTGCCTGGGCACACCTTCCTCCTGGTTCTAGGAAGCAGGAATCTAGACTAACTCAGGAAGGCTCAACCTCTTTCATCTCAGTCCAGCAATTCTAGGGGCTTAGCAGCCTCCAAGGCGAACACCGCCTTCTCCTGGGTCTTCTGGCTTCATATCAGCTGCTCTGTGTCTCAGCACTCTCTCCGTGCCTCTTACCTCCATCAAAGCTTGTGATTCCAATCTGGAAGCCCACCAAGTCCTTATTTCCCACATGAATAGCGCCTCTCTTCTCCCTTAAAGAGTAAGGACAACTGTGGCTGGGGCAGTGGCTTGCTCCTGTAGTCTCAGTGACTCGGCAGGCCGAGGCTGAAGGGAATTTGAGCTCAGGAGTTCGAGGCCGCAGTGAGTGATGGTCATGCCACTACACTCCAGCCTGGGTGACAGCATGAGACCCTGTCTCTAAAAATAAATAAATAAAAAGAGCAGGGACACAGACGTGCCTTGAATCACTGAATGAAGTAGCTGGCTCAGGGAACAAATCCTGTCCATTAAGGTTATGATATTCAGGTGTTCCCCAGGGAGGAGAAGAACATTTCCCAAGGCTCCTCAATTATATCCTCACTGTCTGGGAAAATTACTTTTATGTGCTGCAACTGGATAGAAAAATTTCCTGACACAGGTGACTGGGAAGGCTGTAGGAATCCCCCAAGTGTGGGTAACAATGGAGCCCTGATGTGGGCAGGGATAGGGTCAGATGCAGGAATGGGGGCAATGACCTTGGGGCCCTCTGGACACTTAAGAGTCTGGAACTGAGCCAAAGCTGCTGGAGAAGATGGACTGGATCTTTTTAACTGATGTCCTAGACATCTCAGAGGT